CTCCCATATTCCTTTCATCCTTTTCCCCACCCCACCATTGTACATAAGCAACTTGATTGTTTTCTGTAATATCCTTCCTGTGTTTCTTTTCGTAGCAAGAAGCATGCATATGTATGTTTTCTCATTTTCCCTTTTTTCTCACACACAGAATAGCATACTACATATGCTCTTTGGCAGTGTAATCTCTTCACTGAGCAATATCTCCGGAACTTACTCCATATCAGTTCACGGAGTTCTTCCTCATTTCTTTCTACAGCTGCCCTGCGTGTACCATAGTTTATTCAGCTAATCTTTATGCTTGGACATTTAGGTAGTTTCCAGTATTTTGCAATTACAGATAATACTTCAGTGAATACCCTTGTGTGTGTGCATTTTATTGTTACTGGAGGTGTATCTTCCAGAGAAACTCCTGCAAGTGGGATTGTTGGATTAAAGAGTGTAATAATGATTTAGTTTCCTTTTTTAAATTTTTTTTTATTTAGAAAGTTTTCTTTTAAAATGTATTTATGTTAAAAAGTGAGTGCAAATAAAATGATTAAATAAATAACAAATAATACAGGCAACACAGAGACATGGCAGAATTCTAAAGGCAGGCAGATGACTGACGTTTGAGCATAACTGGGCTAGGTTATTGTTGTAGTCCTTTTAGGCTCCGAAATAGAAACCTGGTTTGGGTGGGGGCTCATGGTGTAATAACTGAGGTTCAGATGGAGCCCCCTGGGAATTTAGCATCAGGACTTGAGTCCTTAGCGGCCATCAGTGGAAATCTGAGTTTACATGGGCCCACTGATCCACTTCCCCCAGTGGCAGAGCATGGCATGTGCATCTGGGAGGGAAGTAGGCACGGCGTCAGTGTGGCCGTGGGTGGAGGGTTGCCGAAGTGCGCACAGAATCATGCTGGACGTTCGGGTGTGGCATAAAGAGGGGTTCACTTTGACCCTGAATCACCAGGATAAGTCAAATCCTTTTTTAAAGATGGCTATAGAATATTTTTAGAGCAATAAGAATCTGAGGAGACCCTCTCCCCCAAAAACTTATTACCCACCCCTCTCATGCCTGTGTAGCCTTTTGCATACAGGGAGTTGGCAGATCTTAGGTTTTAAGAGTTGTTCAGATAAAATTGTTAAAAAGAAGCTAGGAAAAACTCTTTTGGCATTGGAAAAACTGTTCTATATTCACCTCGAAAAGTAATCTAAATGGAATGGCTCACTCCACAACTATACTGGATGGGTCAGGAGTATATGGGAGGGAGAAGGGTGCAGCTGTGAGAACCAGGGCGACCCAGCCAAGGTTTGGAAGCCTTGTTCTGTGTGGAGAGGCCCTTGTGGGCCTGGTCCTGCATTGGATGTGACGTGAGAGGTGGGGAAGGGGTGCCGTCTTGGCTTTCGCTGTTACTTTTCTAACTATATTAAGAGTTAGAAAACTCTTAATATATATATAATATATATATAATGCTCTTCTGGGTTTCCATTACTTCATCTGCAGTATTCAGGACCAAACTAGTGGTGTTTTGGTAGTTTTGTGTGAAGTTCCAGAGTTTTACAAAGGAGCTTTAGAAGCCTCTGTGGAGCCCCTGAGGGAACCGAGGGTTAGAAGGGTTGGGACCCACCCAAGTCTTTACCTGGAGCAACTCTGCTCTCATCAGATGGCTGTGGTGGTGTGCCGTGGGAAATTGTCATTCAAAATTAATGTTTATCTGTTTAACAAATTTTGATGAGCACTGGACTGCATTATCTCTAACCTCTCCTTCCTCTGCTCCAGAATTCTGATAGTGTCCAGGGAGATTAAAAACTGAAAGGGACCAACCACATCACAGCAAGCTTATTCTCCAAACTGAGGCTCCAGGGTTTAGCTCCATCACTTGGGGGAGGTAGTTGGAGCTGAGTTCCTGCTGTGACAGAGGGGCTGGAAGGAAAGGGAGCCTGCAGTGGAGGAGGAGGCAGGTCAAAGGTCACAGGGCAGAAACCAGGGTGGAAGGCTGGTGCTGTAGTCTAGTGTGGTAGTCTTCATATGTCCTTATTGGCACACCCTATCAGTAATCACAAACAAACAAATAAATATTTAAGCATGCATCTCCCAAATATAAATACATTTATTATAAATTATACATTTGACATTACTGTGCTAATGCTATACACATTGTAAAAACCAACAAAATAGGTTTTTTAAAAGATAAGAATAATTAAAAATAAAAGAGGTACTGCCCAGTGGATCATTTTGCGTATCCACTGAAGTACCTGCACCCCACTGTAGAGAAGACTGGAGTAGCTGGGGGGCACCTCAAGGAGGTCAGTGAAGGTACAGAAGCAGGGACAGGAAAGATGGATGGTTCCCAGACAGCAGTCTGCGCCACCTCCTGCGCGTTGTCATATCCATGTGCTACTTGAAATACTGTGTACTCAGTAGACTCTGTGAATCCACTCACGTATTTTTTCTTAAATTTAACCTCATCCTAAGCAGTAACGTTCACAAAAAAAACAGGCTTTCTATGCAGTTAGAATTTTCTTCTAATGTACATCAAAATAAATACAAAACTATGCAAAGAAAACGTTTGTCCACAAATCACTTAAAAATCATGTCAGCCCCCACCTGTGTAGTTGGGGACAGCCCTGAGAGAGACTTCAAGCAGTGGCATCTGACTGCAGACCACAGTGCAGGGAGGGAAAAGGCTGGGGAGAGCAAGGCTCCCCCGTCTCCTGCCAAGGTCCAGGCGCATATGGACATGTGGGAGGTGCACTCATCCACCCCACAGGATAATCGCAAGCACAGTCATGCTTAACAGCATCCCAGAAAGGTGGTAGGGATGTATGTGACGCTCCCCTGTGAGAACACTGTGCACAAATTGGACGCAGGCTGGGTGGGGTTATGGATCACCCCGATCTATGTTGCCGCTGTCAGAACCTCCCACATTGGGCTAGACCCTGCCTTCCCCCGGTATCTCCCACACTGGGCTAGACCAACCACCCATTTGTCCATTCCAGAGATATTGAGCACTTGCTATGTGCCAGGCTCTGGGCTAGACACTGGAGTTCTAGTGGCAAATAAGGCAGCTGAGGCAACTACTCTTATGAAGCCACCATTCTACTAAGGAAAGGCAAGTAGGCAACAAGAAAACCAATAAATAGAAAGTATAAAATCCAGGTAGTTATAAATGCTATAAAGTGAATTCAGGGTCGGAGGGGACAAATCTATTCAGAAGAATTTCAAATAATTTATGTAGTTACTCCCTCCGCAAGGAGTTAGAACATAACTCCCCACTCCTTAAGTGTTGGCTGTGCTTAGTGACTTGCTTCCAAAGAGTGTGAAATGAAAGGAGGAGAAAGCTACCTTTCCAGTGGAGAAACCTAAGCAACATACACTTGGCCAAGTGGTACAGATTAACATCAGCAGTCATGAGTCATGTTGATACCCTGTACCCTTGATATGATACGATGTGATGAGAAGGGCACTTCCTCTCTGTGGTCTTCCTCCCAGAAACCTATAACCCCAATCTAATTATCAGAAAAACATCAGACAAACCCAGATTGAGGGACATTCTACAGATTACCTGACTAGTTCTTCTCAAACTGTAAGGTCATCAAAAGCAAGGAAAATCTGAGAAACTGTCACAGCCAAGAGGAACCTAAGAGGACATGACAAGATGTAATACAGTTTCCTAGATGGGACCTTAGAACAGAAAAAAAGGTATTAGGGGAAAACTAAGGAAATCTGAGTGAAGTATGCAGTTTAATTAATAATTCGAAGCGGTAAAGGAAACACAGGTGAATATGGTCTTGAGGATGTCTCTGAGATGGTGACATCTGAGCCTTGGGTGATGGGACTGAGTCATGCCTGGGTAGGGGGGACCAGGGGTGAGGCATTCCAGGCAGAGGAGACAGCTGTGTGAAGGCTCTAGGGACAGTTAAGGAAGAGTGAGAGGAGCCCAGCACCGCTGGAGTGGCATTGGGTGGAGAGGCCAGGAGGTGAGGTCAGAGGTGGATGGGGGCCAAGGCCGTGCAAGGCCTTGACGCATGGAGGCATTTGGACTTCATCCTGAATGTGGGGGAAGGAGGTGCGGAGTTTTGAACAGAAGGGTGACATGAGCTAATTTCCACTTAAAATCACTTGGGTCTGTGTAGGGAACAAACTAAGCAAGCAAGAAAGGAAGCAGTGGCCAAGTGGGGCCCCTACGTAACTCCAGGGGAAGACAATGGCAGGGGTCACGTCAGAACCCAGGCATGCTCCCATCTTTCCTGAAACAGAATTACAGGTTCACATTTTAATCATTGGTTCCCCTCATTTTGTCTCCCAAAGATGGGAGAATGAACTGAATTCTTGGTTCCAAGAACTAAGTATTTGAAGGTCTATATCCTTGTGTCAAAGAACTCTGTTAACAGAACACCTTACAGTACAACAACTATCCATCTCTAATTCAAGATGTTCTTGATTGGTTTATACATTTTTATGAAATATAAAATGTACACCATGCTTAAATCAGTAGCCCTTCTTTAACTGGGAAAACTAAAACGTGATTCCTAATCTCTCTCTGCCATCCAGAAGTTGTAAATAAGAAGGGAAAACAAAAGACTTCAGTCACATCAAAGCTTTTTCTAAAATGTAAACAATTTGAGAGTGTTTTCAGTGAATTTGGTTATGTTTTATCAACCACATATTCTGTGCTGCCTCAACTCCAGGAAGGAAGTGTGATATCAAAAAGTAAAATAAATATCTTAAAAAAAAAAACAAAAACCTTGAAATAAAATAAATTTTGGCAATTTGTGCTTTGTTGACAAAATCAGGGCCTCCTTTCTTGATGATGCCAAGATGAAAGGAAAGAGAGCTGCTAGCCTTTGTCTCATTTCCCCCCCAACATGTTGCTGGTGCTCCTGTCACAGCTGTTGAATATTTGCTTGACGTGTTAGAAGCAATTTACTACGGCTTCGTCTCGAACACAAGTCTGTCTATAAATCTAGGTCTGGGAAGCTGTCTGGGCTCATTCCAGTCTCTGCATTTGCTTCCAGAGATAGAGATGGTGATCATGGAGCGCAGCAAGCTCCCAGAGTTGGCAGCCAGCACCTCCATGCAGGAGCAGAATACCACGGACGAGGAGAAGAGTGCCGCCACAGGCTTGGCGAGCATGCAGTGGAGCAGGTAGGAGGCCCAGCCCTGCGGCGCTGGTGCTGGTGCTGGTGCTGGTGCTCGAGGAGGGCTGCCCACAAGCCAGCCTGGCAGGGTAGAGGTGCTGCTCGGTCTCTGGGATGAGGAGGTGGGTGGATTGGCTGGGGTGCCCCCTAAGGACAACCCTGGGCCTCTTTCTACCACCCACATGGTCTCTCCTGCCTCACAACCAAGCCATCCTGCTTCCTGCCTTTCTCTCCTCTTCACCCCTTTGAAAGAGAATGACTGAGACATGGCATCACCACCCCCAAGCACTGTAGTGCTGGTTCCTGTCCTAAAGGGTGTGGGCTGCCTTGTAGCCTTGTACTACCCATTCCTGGAAGACTCTGTGGTTCCCAGGAAGGATCCCATTGGGAGCAGCATTTGGGTCTTCCTGTCTCATTTATTCTCTGCTACGCACATGGCCATCCACAAGGCCTGTCCTCATGACTCAGCTGGCATGATTTAATGCTGCTGTCCACCTTTGACTTCGTGCCTGATTGTTCATTTCAGTGATGGCCTGCCAAAGCTACATCCTCTTAAACCTTTGAGATGCTGCGTTTCCTGGAACCTTGCTATAGCAGTACCCCTTTCAGAATGGACTTGGGTAGATGGCTGCTCCCGAAGTGTGCAGTCAACTGTTAGGAGCCTAAATATAGACTCTTTATCTAGTGGCCCCACTGCACAGACCCCTGTAATAACCTGCCGTCTTATTTTAGTGTTAGTAAACACACAACAGCATGGTTTCTCGGTCAGCCTGTAAGGACTTCATTTCCTGCACCCTGAGGGCGAGGTGGCTGTTCACACATACCCCCATCCTACTTGAAGTGAAGAGTTGAAGCACGCTAATTTTTCCCTCCACATCTTATTTATCTCTTTGATTGGCAGATGTTTCAGGTACCCGACAGGATTAATTTTTATCAGAGGCACAAGGGAGCCATCTTTAGTTTTGGTTAAATAGAACCCACTCGCGTGCAGTGTGGGCTGTCTGTTGTTGTCACTTACACCTTTTTTTTTTTTTTTTTTTTTTTTTTGCTTGTCAGCAAATACTGTAACTCCTGAAGCTCCAAAAATTAAGGAAATCATTCTAAACACAGAAAGGGAGAGGAAAACAATCTTTAGGTGCTTGCCACAAGATTGGTTAGAATATGAATAATTGGAAAAACCATAAATGGGGGATTCTCAAGCAAATGAAGGTGCATCTGCTTAATAGATTATTGGCTGCTGCTTTTCAATGAATACTGTCATGATGTGTTCAGTTTCTTAGGATCTAATAAATGGACACAGAGCACATATTTTACATAGTATGGCAAAACTGTAGCTTTGCTAAAGGGAAAAAACTACCCACGTGTTGTCAAAAAAATAATAAAAACAAATCATGAACAGGCCCAAATGTTATGTTTGAAAGTTTGGATTCAGACTTCTTTTTTTCCCCCTGAATTTCAGTGAAGAGAGGGGCTTTCTTAGAGTTGATTGAGGTTATTTATAACTGAAGCTGACCCTGGTAGCTTGAGTTGGGCCACATGCAGGCTTGTGGTTCTGGGAATTTTGGGGCCAGAGCCCTGCCACTGTCCTAAGACCAAATGCCAAGGAGAGACCGGCCCAGGTGGGGAGTTGCCTTCTCCTTTGTAATGATATTGAGTTGTTGGTTGTCAGAAATACCGCCAAGGACTTCTGTCCTCCTCGTTCCCGGCACTGAGCAAGAAGGGGGGTGCCGGGGGTGGGTGGGGGCACAATTTGTTCTTGACATGAATTGGATCTTGACATTGGTCCACTTGTCTGAAGAAACAGCATAGTACAAAGCGTAACTGTTCTTGCATATGGGCTATATCTGCATTCAGGGTTAAATATAGGCCAAGAAATTAAAAACCAGTCAAAACATGCTTTCTTTTCTTTAAAAAAAAAAGGCTTTAAAAATTACAGAACACACATTCAGAAAATGTAAAAAACCTTGAAAAGTATAAAGAAGGAAAAGAAGATTTTCATGATGACAACACTCAAATGAACTTGTTACTGACATTTTGGTTATTTCCTACCAGTTTTTTTCAATGCCAGTTTAATGGGAATTCTGTCCTTCTCTACCCCAATAACTTATACCATCCCATGTCTGTCATATTTTTCCTCTTTTTTTCCATCTAATCAAACCCCAAACTCTTTTTCACTTTATTGTATTCTTAGTAAACAAAATGCTAGTGGCCTCATAATACTTCATTACATAACAGATGGTACATCCATCCAGTCCTCCTTCTGCTACTCGGTGTTTGGTTATTCATATTATTCCCAAATGAAAATAACAATCCAGGCTCTAAGCAGCTGGTTTACAAGAAGACATTTTCTACTTTATCCCACTGTTAATTTAAAAGTGTTATCACTGTGGACTTACAACAACCCAAATGCACACATCGCAGAACTATTCATGCATCTGCAGAGTGATGCTTGATCTGGGGCTCAGGAGCAACAGCCCGAACATAAACATCCCACTTAAGATTGTTCCTTTAATTTTTGTGTGTCCCGAGTTTATTTGAAATGTATGACATTTTTCAATCTAATATTCTTTTTTTGCATTTTTCAATGTAATATTCTGAATCAGTGGTATTGTTATGGAGTTCACAATTCAAAAAAGTATAACAGGTTGTACTGTGCTTCTCTATCTCACTGTTCCACTCCCCCCAGACAACTGTTGCTGACAGTAGCTCTGAGTCCTTCCAGGAGTCAGGTGTGACTTCGGTCACTCATTGAGGTGCTCTGCTCTCTCGGCTTCAGCCTGGCATTCAGAGGGGCAGCCACAAACAGTCACAGGATCAGAGCCTCTGTCCTACAGGGCAGAACAGTGCATATTCTATTATCTTTGTGTGAAGAGTCTTTCCAGGCCAGACCCTTCACCTGGAAGGGCAACATTTGGGGTGTGTGGTTTGTGATATCTGCAGCCTCTCTGTAGATCTCGCCCACAAAGCATCAGAGGTGAGAGACCTCATCGATTCTCACCAGTCTGGGAAAGTGAGTCCAAGAAGTTGCTGGGCCAGGACCTGCTGAAGTGAAATCATGGAGAAATGCCCTTGAAATATTCACAATAGAAATCAAAAAGCAGTTCCTATGTACTAGCGTTTTCTACTGTGTACCTGGCCCTATGTTAAATGCCTTTCAGTTGTCATTCACTTGAATCCTCATAATAACCCTGTAATGTTTTAATCCCCATCTTAATGATGGGGAAATGAAGAGGTTTTAGGTAACTTACCCAAGGGTTTGTAGCTAAGAAGAGGCAGAATCAGAATTTGAGCCCAGGCAGTCTGGCTCCACGGCCCACATTCTGAAATTGCTCCTAAGTGGTGCCGTGTCTGGTATTGTTAGCCTCTCACGTTGCCCAGTTTTCTTTATTCTCTTGTCGCTCTTCAAAGTGATGATGTGGTCTGTCTGTTCTCAGTCTCTGTCCATTGGCATGGGAGTGCCACAAAGTAAGGACGTTGTATTCTTTATTTCTCCCTAGTGTCCGCACAGCTGGAGAACCACTGTGGAGAGATTAAGTGGTGTGTTCCTCAGTCACTTTTCCCTCAAGATAGCAGGTTCCCACAAACAGAACTTCTTTTTCATTTGTGTTGTGTCCTCAGTGCCTGGTGCTGGACTGGGCACACAGTGGACTCCCTTGCATGCTGGCGGCAGAGTTTTAAGAGGCAAAGACGAGCACAGGTGGGAGAGCAGAAGTGTTCACCCGTGTGCACCACAAAGCTCACGAGCATCCCTCCTCTTTCCCAGGCCCTTCCTGGACATGGTGTACCATGCCCTGGATAGCCCAGATGATGACTACCACGCTCTCTTCGTGCTCTGCCTACTCTATGCCATGTCTCACAACAAAGGTAAGCCCGCTCACCCTCCTGCCTTTCTCGTATCCCTGCCTTCTGCTGCCTGGAGGGAAGAAGAAAAGCTGCTTTTCTTGAAGAATTAATTTCCTTTCTGGTTTTGCTGGAACCCCTTAAAACTTCCCTTCAACTTTGTTAGAATTTCTCAGGTGCTCTTCTACAATCTAAAGCCACAGGAGTTGCTTATTTAGACAAGGGGCGGGGGGTGGGGGGTGGGGAGAGGAGATTCAAGTGTGACTGTTTGACCCAGGCACTATATTCACACGGTGGTTTTCTTTTGACCCCTTGCTTTACCTGCTTTAGTGTCCGAGCTCTCCTACCATCAGAACTGAAATCATTCAAAATGTAATCTTGGTTTTGCTATTTATAACAGTTGATGTTTTCATTCTGGATTCTGAGCTAAAATAGACTCTGGGTGGATTGTGTGGAAGTGTAGGCTTCCTTTCTGAAGAAAGGTGTGGTTCTCCAGCTTCCCATATTGAGGCTGAGCAATCAGGATCAGACTCCCTCAGAACTGACAGATTTGATTAGGACTCATTCATTCACTTCCTCCCTGGAAACAGCCTGGTGTCTGCCCCACCTGGCTTGACAAGAGCAAGTTCTGAAGCCTCCATATCAGAACCTCTTCCAAGAAAGAATCAAGAATATTCCTCTGGCCCCTGCCACAAGCTGGGCTTAGATGAGACCTTGCATCAAGTGATATTTTAGTAGGTTTTTCATAAGCTTATTGGGAAATAAGTGGAGGTGGGTTTTGCTAAGCTAGAGACATTTTAAAAGCACTCAGCATAACGTTTTCAGCACATCATTTTACATCCCTATAGAATTGCCTTTTTCTTTTTAATCATACATCTGTGTCATCATTTATTCTGCTATTCCCTAATTAATGGCACTGAAACTATTTCTACGCTTTTCCTTCTTTAGACAGGACTGACCAGTGATGATCTTCTCCCTCCACTGTCTCATTCACTCCCATGGCTTCTACACTCCCCTTCAGCTCCTGGCTTGGTGCCTTGCACACAGGAGCCCTCAATTACTGGCAATAAACAGACCTCCAAGAGACTAAACTCCTGCTGTTGTATGTTGGACACTCTACCTAGGCGTTTCAACAATACCTTGAAACTCTGTCTATACTATGCTCATCCTCATAAATATACCTTGACCTTGTCATATACTTACCGCCATTTCTGATTCAGTTGAAATTACTAACCAAGCTTGAAACTGCCGTGACCTTTAGCTCCTTTGCTCCTTGGATCCCAGCATTTAGTCATCAAGTTTTGTCAGTACTGTCTCTTCAGCCTCTCTGATCAGCAGAATTTAACTCAGTGTGACTCAGTGCCTGGCTGTAAGCTAGGTGCTGGAGGCAAGAACCAAGAACCAATGGTGTAAGTGCAAGACAGATCTGGGCACATCATTTCAGTGGCTGTTATTGCAGCCTCCCCAAGGGGTCAAATGTATTTTATAATCTATCCTCCATGGCACTGCAAGGTAATCCTGTATAAGACTGTGTTGACCATGTCCTTTACATATTCAGAAACCTTTAGTGCCTTCTGTCCCTTAAACTTCACCCTCCTGTACCTGTCATTTACAGTATCCAGACCACACCCATCATTCCAACTTGATCTGATTCCCCTGACTTCGTTTCACAGACCCTTGGCTCTGGCCAGGAGGTTAACATTTTTATGTAGTGGTAGAACTCTTACATAAGACAAACTTGCTGTCCTGGTGCTCATTGCACTCTTGAGTGCTTTTTTGGTTGCAGGCAACAGAAACCACCTCTGATTAACCAAACTGAAAGGGAAAGCCTATAGGAAGGCCTCAGGGACAGCTCATGGGGTCCAAGAAGTTGCCGAAAAGCTGAGGGAAGGGCAGAAACTGACCAGCTCTGAGGACTTCCCTCAAGGTAGATCCTGATTTGGCCCCAGCAAATTCCAGGCTGGGAGTTTGCCTCCATTCAGGTTTCCAATTCTTGGGCAAGGGTCTTATTGTTTCGGGCTTGTGGTGTGTCTAACTCTGAGAACAGTCAGGTATGGCTAGGGGGTCAGGGTTACATAGCACAGACTTGGCCCCATGGGTTCAGCCCTGTGTCTGGGACTCCCAGAGAAAGGAGCTCTTTGAAAGCCTGGCAGCCACCCCAGCCAGTGCCAGCATGCCTACCTGTTTCTGGGTCATAGCCACCTTCTTGTATTTATTTGTGTTTTTTCCTACCATTTCCTCTATCCCATCACCACCACTTAATAAAATATTGCTTGCCTGTCAAGAGTCCTCTAAGAAGTCACCTTCTCCAGGACATTTTCTCTGATCTTTTTAGGTGGCAATCACCCTGGGTTAGTACCACCTAATGTGGCAGGCGTATTTTATAAATAACTGGATTTGATTTCCTAAAATTTAGCCAAGGATTCTTGCACCTATGTTGAGGAGTGGCATTGATCTGTGGCCTTCTTGTAATTCTCTTGTTTACTGTAAGATATATGCTCATTTTATGGGATGAATTGGGCAGTATTCCCCACTCCTGAATTTTCTGCAGGAGTTTTTGTAGAATGAGTATTATTTCTTCCTTACCTATTTGGTAGAATTCACCAGTAAAGCCCTCTGGGCCTGGAGTTTTCTTTCAGGGAAGGTTTTTAAGTAGTGGTACTAAATATCTTTAGTAGATATAGGGCTGTCGAAGCTTATCTGTTTCTTGAGTGAACTTTCATAGCTCGTGTCTTTCAAGGAATTTTCATCTAAACTGTCAAGTTTATTGTCATAGACTTGTTCATTATATTTCTTTATTATCCTTTTAATATCTGTAAGACATGTAGTGAGAGCCCCTTTGTAATGCATGGTATTAATAATTTAGGTCTTTATTTCTTTTTCCCGATAAGTTTGGTGAAGAATTTATCAATTTTATATTAATGTTATTGATATGTTTAAAAAACTTTCTTTTTTCTATTGATTTTTCTGTATTGTTTTCTGTTTTATATTGCATTAATTCCTATTCTTAACTTTATTTCTGACTTTCAGCCATTTACCTCAGATATAATTTATTCTTCTTTTTCTTGTTTCTTAAGATGGAAGCTTTCTTTAATCATTGGTTTTTAAGCTAATTTATTTTATTTTACTTTTAAAATTAACACACCGTAAAATTACCTTTCTGTGTGTAGTGCTATGAATTTAGTACATGTGTGGATTTGTGTGAGCACCACCATAATTAGGATACCTTACAATTTCATCATCAACCAAAAAGTTCCCTCAAGCTATTCCTTTTTGGTTAAACCCTCCCCATATAGGTAAATGATTTTTAAACTTTTCTTCTTGTATGAAGTAAGAGTTTAGCGCTCTGAATTACTCTCTAAGTACTGCTTTAGCTGCGTGTAATAAATTTGATAAATGTGGTTTTACTTTTATTTGGTTTAAAATATTTTGTAATTTTCCTCTTATCTCTATCATCTGTACAATTTCTAGCTATTTTCTTTTCTTTAATGTTTTTTAAGTGTATTTTATTGATTATGCTATTACAGTTGTCCCATTTTTTTCCTCCTCTTTGTCCCCCTCTGCCCTGCACTCCCCATCCGACCGGCATTTTCCCCCTTAGTTCATGTTCATGGGTCCTACATATAAGATCTTCCGTTTCTCCATTTCCTATACTGTTCTTAACCTCCCCCTGTCTATTTTGTACCTACCAATTAAGCTTCTTATTCCCTGTACCTTTTCCCCCATTCTCACCCCTCCCCGTCCCCGCTGACAACCCTCCATGTGATCTCCATTTCTGTGATTCTGTTCCTGTTCTCATTGTTTGCTTATTTTGTTTTTGTTTTTTTGTTTTTTTAGGTTCAGTTATTGATAGTTGTGAGTTTGTTGTCATTTCACTGTTCATAGTTTTGATCATCTTCTCTTTCTTAGATAAGTCCCTTTAACATTTCATATAATAAGGACTTGGTGATAATGAACTCCTGTAGTTTTACCTTGTCTGGGAAGCACTTTATCTGCCCTTCCATTCTAAATGATAGCTTTGCTGGATAGAGTAATCTTGGATGTTGGTCCTTGTTTATCATGACTTTGAATACTTCTTTCCAGCCCCTTCTTGCCTGTAAGGCTTCTTTTGAGAAATCAGGTGATAGTCTTAGGGGAACTCCTTTGTAGGTAACTGTCTCCTTTTCTCTTGCTGCTTTTAAGATTCTCTCCTTATGTTTAATCTTGGGTAATGTAATTAGGATGTGTCTTGGTGTGTTCCTTCTTGGGTCCAATTTCCTTGGGACTCTCGGAGCTTCCTGGACTTCCTGGAAGTCTATTTCCTTTGCCAGATTGAGGAAGTTTTCCTTCATTATTTTCTCAAATAAGTTTTCAGTTTCTTGCTCTTCCTTTTCTCCTGCTGGTACCCATATGACTTGGATGTTGGATCGTTTAAAGTTGCCCCAGAGGTTCTAAGCCTCTCCTCAGTTTTTTGAATCCTTCGTTCTGTTCTGGTCGAATGTTTACTTCTTCCTTCTGTTCTAGATGGTTGATTTGAGTCCCAGTTTCCTTCCCTTCACTGTTGGTTCCCTGTATATTTCTCTTTATTTCACTTTGCATGGCCTTCGCTTCTTCCTCTATTTTGCAACCATACTTAATAATTTCTGTGAGCATCCTGATTACCAGCGTTTTGAACTCTGCATCTGATAGGTTGACTGTCTCCTCTTTGCTTAGTTCTTTTTCTGGAGTTTTGATCTGTTCTTTCATTTGGGCCATGCTTCTTTGTCTCAGTGCACCTGTTACATTGGAAGCGGCGGAGTCTTAAGTATTTGCCAAGGTGGGGTGACCCACTTTGCTGAGTTAAGGCGCTGTATGTAGCGGATGGGTCAGGGAGGGAACAATGCCACTTGCTTGGCTCTCATCCCACTTTCAGTCACTCCTCCCGTTACCCACAAGCAAATTGGGCCCTTCTGGTGCTGATTCCCAGATAGGCGGGTTTGTGTGCATTCTGGGGCCCCATAGGTATCCTCAACGAACTCTCCTGTGAGGCTGGGAGTTTCTTCCAC